AGTACCTTTCCCAGATTGCACACATACCTCAGTTGTGCCTATATTCTTACTGTGTTTAATGAAGTAGAATATTGTTCAACATTCTAAAAAGATAATCTACAATTGGTGTAGCCTTAATAACTAATTTTCAAAGATTAATTGCATATGCAAGAGAGCAGAGAGAAATTCCACCCTAGGGATTTTTCAGACAGCAGCCCAGGGAAAGGTACCTTTAATAGGGAACTGCCACATCAGGGCAGCTTTAGCATCCCCCAAACCAAGTGTGCTCAACCCCTGGTCTGCAGGATAAGTCCAGCCCATGGAGCCATGGCATCTGGCCCACTGTGCTCCCTAGAGGTTGGGAAATTAATTAATACCACCACCCTTCCCTTGCTGTCAAATTTCCAAGCCCTACATGGCCGGACTGGGGCCAGGCCCAGGCCATGGCCCCTTTCCACCTGTGTAGCTGTAGTGGGACTGGTCCATGTCCCCGCTTTCCCCACCCCCACCATGTGCAGCTGGATCATGGGTGGATCATGCCCCCTTCCTACTGTGCACAGTTGGATCAGGGCCAGGCTGCCTCGACACACAGCCAGATCAGGCCTACCAGCTGGATCTGTCCCATGGAGCGCGCAGGCACCACTCATCCAGCCCCTAGAGCAAAAAAACTGAGCACCCCCCCCCAACAATCTATTTTTGCGTGTGCCTTTTCCATTTTGTGTTCATGACAAACCCTCTCCCTTTGCCCTTCTCTATTTGCACATGAAATCCCATGTGTGGCAAGTAACTCATGGGAAGCAAGCCCAGATTATGTGCTCTTTTTACCCAGGTGACTGTACAAGGTATACAAATGTTCTTGGTAACATCCACAGACACTATAAATATCCTCTTGAGAAGTACCCTTCAGGTTTGCTGTGATTATGACCATCTGTGACTTCCACATGAGAACTCTCTTGAAACTCTGCAGATTAAACCTGGATGTTCATCATGCCAACTGTACTTCACAGACGTTAGTGCAGGGTGTTTGGGAACATTTGTTTTTCACTGAGAACTAGAGCACATTCAATGGAATGAACATTCATAACCCTGGTAATTTATTTTGTCATATCTGAAAATATGAGCATTACATTAGCTTTTTCTAACTGAAGTGATCCCTGCATAATAGGATAAAATTGTACATAACATCATGATCTCCAGCCGAATACAGGATAAAAACAACTGTGTAGAAAACCTTTTAAGGTAGAAGGCAGGGTAGATTTGCACCGTTATAGACTGAGTCTGAGCTGTATAGCATAAGCTTTAACAAGCAAAGGGCTTACTTCATAAGATGCTGTGAAGGGACTGCTGGCAGAAGAGCTGCCATATTAAAAAAAGCTATTAAAATACACTGTTGATGAGGGGGTGCAGCTGGCAATGGACCACATCATCACTGAGTTAGATAATGCAGAGTATAACACCCAAGGTTCAAATTCTTGTACCTCTATGAACATTATACACACCCTCACTTGCTTACAGCACCCCTCTGCTATCTGCAATGGACAGACAAAATGATCCCTGTGGGTGCAGACAGATGTTAGGGCTGGGGCTGTAACTCATGGTGCTTTACAGAAGGTGCCATGATTTAGAGCACGCATCCCCCAGCCCAACAGACGTTTGCTTGCTGGGTTGGGGAGTGGGCTGAAGGTAGCTTGGATTGGCCCAGGCCAGCAAGTGGGGGTGCCCCGGCAGTCTCCCAGGAGGCTGCTGAACCACACCACCCCCCCACTTCTGGGGCTGTCAGCGAGGGAGCTCCCAGCTGCTAAATGGCCAGAGCTGAGAGGGGGAGAGGATGTATGGAGCCCACTCACCTTACAGCCCCAGTCTAGTTACCCTGGCTGGGGTATTGGGGGGAGCTGGGCTGGGCCCCTGAAATGAGGGAGCTCCATTCCACCACTCCCAGCTCTGACCATTTGACAGCTGGCAGCCCCATGCTAGCTGCTCCTGGCTGCTGAGTGGCCAGAGCTGCGGGAGGGGAATGGAGCCTGACCCAGCTCCCCCCAGTACCGCAGCTGGGGTAGCTAGGTGGGTGGCCCCATTTCCCCACCTCCCTTCCAGATCTGGCCATTCAGCAGCCAGAAGCTCCCTCTCCTTTCCTTTGACAGCCTGGGGGGAACGCAGCCCTGCCCTGCGTGAAAAGAGAGAGACTCCACCAGGCCTAGGGTCAGGGTGGACAGAGTTAGAGAACTTCGGGAGGGGCTGGACAAGTTCAAATCAGCAGGTCCAGATGCTCTCCACCCCAGGGTATTAAGGGAATTGGCAGGGGTTATCGTGGGGCCCCTGGCATTGCTTTATGAGCACTCGTGGTGCTCTGGCCAGGTGCCGGATGACTGGAAGAGGGCCAATGTGGTCCACATCTTCAAAAAAGAGAGGAGCGAGGACCCAGGCAACTATAGGCCCTTTAGTCTTACTTTGATCCTGGGGAAGCTCTTTAAGAAGATTATCAAGGAGCACATCTGTGAAGGGCCAGCAGTGAGGATGATGCTCAGGGGCGACCAGCATGGTTTCATTAGGGGCAGGTCCTGTCAGACCAACCTGATTGCCTTCTACGATCAGGTCACAAAATCATTGGACACAGGTGTTGCAGTGAATGTAATCTTTCTGGACTTCAGGAAGGCCTTTGACACTGTCTCCCACCCCATTCTCATTAAAAAGCTAGGCAACTGTGGCATTGATGCCTACAGTCAGATGGATAGCAAATTGGCTGAGGGGCTGCACTCAGAGAGTGGTGGTGGACGGATCATATTCAACCTGGAGGGATATGAGCAGTGGAGTCCCCCACGGCTCGGTCCTTGGGCCCGCACAGTTCAATTTCTTTATTAGTGACTTGGATGAGGGAGTGAAAAGCACCCTGTTTAAATTCACAGATGACACTAAGATTTGGGGTGCGGTGGGCACGCTAAAAGGGAGCGACAGGATACAGCTGGACCTGGAGAGGTTACAGGGGTGGGCAAATGAGAATAGGATGGGATTCAATACTGACAAGTGCAGGGTGCTGCCCTTAGGCATTAGGAACCAGCAGCATACCTATTGGCTGGGAAACTCTCTTCTCGAAAGTACAGTGGCAGAAAGGGATCTTGGAGTCATTATTGATTCCAAGATGAACATGGGCTGCCGATGCAAGAACACGGTCAGTAGGGCTAACCACACCTTGTCGTGCATCCACAGATGCATCACAAGCAGGTCCAAAGGAGGTGATCCTCCCCCTCTATGCGACACTGGTCAGGCCACAGCTGGAGTACTGCAACCAGTTCTGGGCGCCGCACTTCAAGAGGGATATGGACAGCATCGAGAGGGTCCAGAGGAAGGCCACTCGCATGATCTGGAGACAGCAGGGCAGACCCTACGAGGACAGGCTAAGGGACCTGAACCTGTTCAGCCTTCACAAGAGAAGACTGAGAGGGGACCTGGTGGCCATCTATAAACTTACTAGGGGGAACCAGCAGGGAATGGGAGAGACCTTGTTCCCCCAAGTGCCTCCTGGAGTAACAAGGAATAATGGCCATAGAGGGCCATAGAGTAGGTTCATACTAGACATCAGGAGGCACTACTTCACAGTCAGGGTGGCTAAGATCTGGAACCAACTTCCAAGGGAAGTAGTGCTGGCTCCTACCTTGGGGGTCTTTAAGAGAAGGCTTAGTGTTTACCTAGCTGGGGTCATTTGAGCCCAGGTTTCTCTCCTGCCCAGGGCAGGGGGTAGGACTAGAAGATCTGCAAGGTCCCTTCCGACCCTACATCTATGAATCTATGAAAAATTAACCCTGGAGGGAACACATATCCCCTAAGGTGCTCTACTTTTGAGCACCTTAATGGAATTCCTGATTTAACCAGGGTTAATTTTTGGCACAAACAGCTATTTTTAAAACCCTCTGCAGCCATGAATGTGTATTTAGTCACAGCTGTTGAGCACCTTCAAGGGCCAGATTGTTTGAAAACTGTCACTTCTCTCTGTATCCTACATGTAAGAATGAATGAATGCTGATCCAACATCAGTACCAGAAAGGCACACAAACCTGTGGCAGAATGCTTTACCTCTTCCTAGACAGTTCACCTCTGCCCTCACAGTGGCTGTTCTTAGACAGCAAAACTTTAAAAACGAACTTGAATGAGAAACTGTTGAACAAGAGATCATCCACAGAATGGATTGTTTTAAACATGGTCTAAACTGAGACTATGGATTCTTAGCCTATTACCTAGATTAGTGTTTATAAATCCTATGTCCCTCAGTGTGTTAACTGCTTTGTTTTTCTCTCTCCTACCCATATTGCCTCTCTCAGAAGTGCCCCCTCCTTTTTCCTTCTCCCTTGCCTACATTTGTATTCTAATCACTGCTTTGTGTTTAGCAGCTGCTGCTTCCTGCACTTCCTTCACAGCATCTGACAAAGTAAATCCTCTGCTTATGCTACACATCTTATGCTATAAGGTGCATATGCTATACATCTCCAATTTAATTAGTCTATAAGAGGTGCAAATCTACCCTGCCTTCTGCCTGACTTTAGACTAACATATTTAAATACCTCTCTCTGGGAGTGTACACATGTGAATTAATGCACCTTTTCTAATGTGCATTAAATTTAGTACTTTTGATGTGAGGTACTAAATGAATGTGCATTAGGCTCCACTAATGTGCTGTAGCACATTTGCACACTTTTTTTGCACACATTTGACTATTTTACTGTGCATTAGTGTAATGTCACGGTTTTTACATGATGCTTTAATGTGCAGTAAAATAGTCTATTTGTCATTAAAGCACACATGTAGATGAGCTCTCTGATAACCTTTTAACTCATCCAATTTTTTTCTCTACTATCCAGTGTGGGGTACTTTACTTTTAATGTCATTTTCAAACTCAAGTCATACCAAAGGGCGGAAGCATGCATGAAAAGTTAAATAAATAAATAAATAAGTAAATAAGAAACCTTCATGACTGCTGGTCTCAGTGAATGGAAATAGAAAGCTAGGATTTAATTGGAGGCTACTGTAGATTGTATTTATATACACTAGCTTCAGCAGGTTTAATTTTTTATTTGTTTGCATTAAATTCATAGAATGTATTGACAACTTCAGTTACATCTTAGACTTTTTAAACAAAGATTACCATAACAAAAGGATAAAAGTTCCCCATGTGTATCAGTCATTAACACATCAAAGAGTATGAAGTATGGGAACATGTAAGGTTAGCAATTTCCAATAATAAACCTATGGAAGTTACTTCCCAACCCTATACTATTTTCAGATTTACTCACTGGCAAAAACCACAAAATGAATGCACTGTAAAAGGGTTAATTTAGAATAGATCCTTTCCGCTATGCTACGTGGAATACCATTATCCTGACTGTCTGATAATAAAGCTTTTTCCACTAGTAAAATAAATTTTCATAAAATTGAAGAGGAAAAAAATGTTGCTGTTGGGTGCTGACTCCTGGCCAAGACCAAGTAAGTCCCTGATCTCAAAAGACAGCTCACTGCACAAATTTAAATGACTGAAATGCATGGTCACTATCACATCTACTGCAATAATTTCTTTTGGCTAGAGGGAAATAAATGTGACAGAAGATTTTCAAGTCAAAGATTACATAATACTGAGAATTTATACAGGGATTTTTTTCTTCAAAGCTCCTTACGGAGATTAATTAATCCTCATGACAGCCCTGTTAGGGAAATATCAACATTTTACAGAAGAAAAAGTGATTTGTTCAGTGCCAGCACACTGAATCAACATTCAAAAAGGGATTAGAGCTAGTGGCTACTGGTCCTACATTCAGACCACACCTCCCCAATGCTGAAAGAGTTTTGCAAGTTGTCTTTTAATTTCAGGAAGCCATCTGCTCACCCCAGTCAGTTGCAGTGACATGCTGTGAAGTACTGCAACACCTCTGCTGTCAAAAGCAACATATTTTCTTTCTCGTGTCAGCCACTGGTCAAAGCAAAAACTCACAAAATTAAGGACAGTGAGGAATTAAACAAAAGCCTTTAGAAGAATCTCTTTTCTAAACTATACATTCTGTCTGTGCTGTAGTGAAGTAGCTTGAGCATTTTTATTTCTATATGAAGCACAAGAATATTATTGTGAAACAGTTCATTCCAGAGTGGCTATTAGCTAATGTTGCTTCTTTTGTCAAAGAAAAATAAAACTTCCCACAGCCATACAAAATAAAGTGCTTATTCACTGTACTGAATCTGCCACAGCAGATTTTTTTGTTCTGTGACAGATGTGTCTTCTGAAGGAACATCAGCCCTTCTGCAAAGTACTATCTCTATATCCTGACAAAAAAGCAGTCCTGTTAATTTGCGATAAACATATTAACACAAATCCAGATTAAACTGTCTTCACTGTAAGTAAAAATGCCTAATCATTAATACTGGAGAGTTATTTGCCTACTCTTCTGTTTTTAAAAGTCTCTTACCATTTATATTTATGGCAGTGGGCAGCTCTACATGTTTCGGAAAAAAAGACACCCCCCCTCTTTTTGGTAGTTTATAAGTTTCATATTATGATGAAGGAAATCTATTTTTATCCTTTCTATAAGACCTGGCACCACCAGTTATCTTTATACTAAAAAGCATACAACATCTGATGACTGAACAGTACACTGGGTTAAAAATTATGGGCACAGGCGAAAGTGACATTTTTCACATGAAAAGCCCCTAAAAGCACTCTACAACCATGTCATAACACACATGCACAGCTGCAGAGCACTTTAAAATGGCTGATCTTGTGAAAAAGTAACCCTCATTAAATCAGATAGTAAATTTAGGCACACTAAATTAGAGTGCCTTAAGGAACTTGTATAGCGTTCCCTGAGAGGGTTACATGTCATGCCCCAGGTCTGCTGCAGGGAGGAGGCAGAGTCTCTTCCCTGTGCAGGGCGGGAATGAGTGCATGTGCCCCCCACCCCATTGAAATGGCTGCCTTGGGAGTGCAGCAGGCAAGCTGGGGTGGTGGGGGGCGGCATATGAGCCCCAAGACTGCACAGGCCCAGCCCAGCTACCCCTGCTGGGGTCTGGGAAGAGTGCAACCCTGGAGCTCAAATCCCACTCTGAAGCCCACCTGCTGCTTTTTGACACTGCGCCTGCTGGGCTGGTGTGGACCACTGCCAAGCAGCAACAGGCTGGCTGGGGTGCCTGCCCCAAGGCTAGATGGACCCAGCCCAACTACCCTTACTGGAGTCCAGGGGCTGCTGGATTGGGCCTGTGCAACCTTGGGGCTCAGATCCCATCCTGCAGCCAGCCTGCCACTTTTTGACAGCACACCAGCTACCATCTGCAGAAGAGCATGTAATATTAAAGGGCATAAACCAAAAGAACAGGGTGTGCCTGACACAGGATGATCATATTTCTTGAATCTCAAAATGGGACAGAATCCCAAACAGTTCTAAAAATGGGACCACCTCTAGTGAGGAAATTTCTGAAAGCAGGAGAGAAGCACTAATTTGAAGAAAATGATGGTATGCCTGGGACAGGTGTTTAAAATAGGACTGTCCCAGCAAATATAGGACAAATGGTCACTCTAGTCTGACAAGCTGGAGAGCTTACTGTTTGGTTAATTCACTTGCCACAGGTATCGGATGTATATTTTCAAGACTTGATTCTGCTATCATTTACATTGGGGTAAAGCAGCCACAGTGCTAGGGAGGTTAGTGAGATTGCACCATGGCAAGGAAAAGCAGAGTCCTATTATTAGAAAAGTATATCCTGTTTGTTTGATCTTTCTTGGTATTAGTGATATCATCATTTTAGTGATATGCTGACAGTTTCTGCAGCAATATTTCTTCCTGGTTGTAGGTGGTTCATCATGAAAGTACAGAACTGTACAAAGACAGACACAGATCCCAGACACATGAACTTCATTTACACAAAATCTTCCAGATCCTTCCTGGATTTTTTGGGTCAAACTCCTATTAGTCATTCCTCAAAGAACAAAAGAGATGAATCAAGGCCATCTGTGAAATCAAAATATCTAAGGGATAATAATGATAAATAATAATAGCAGCAGGTTTTTCTTAGCTCATGTATTGGGTCAAAGCCCTGGCTTCATAAGTAGTAAATCAAAGCTGTGTATATATATTTTTTCTGTACATTATAGGATATCCATTTGCAATACACTGCTGTTGGTAGAGACAAAAGCTTTTTTTCCAAAAGAAATAAGCAGCAGTGAATTCTCTGTAAACAAGACTGCAGGATGCCAAACAGAAATTGAATAATACAGGAGATGAGTCTGGTGTTCCTATACATCATCTCAGGATATTAGAAAAAGGGACAATCAAGGAAAATCAAATCAATAATTAAAGAAATAGGTTCAAAAATGCATCATTATCCTGTGGAACTCAATGCTACAAGATATGACTGAAGCCAGGAGTCATACCCCTAGACATTTATATACTGGTAGTGAAAAATATCTGCACATGTAGTATATAGAATGAATCTATAAATGACATAACTCTTTCTGCCTCATGGCAAATAAAACCTAATAAAATGGCATTCTGTTCCCTTCCTGGTCTTTTAAGTGTCAAGATTTGATTGTTTATATGCCATTTTGGTTTGGTTTAAGGCATTTTCAGTTACCTAAGTTCCAAAAATGCCACTCAGGCACTGGTAGGAATGCTATTCCTGGTCACATGACCTATGCATATGTCATTGCCTGTGTACACAGATTGAGTGAGCATACACACTGGCAGCAAAATGGGGATTGCAGGGGAAGGGATAGGAGGGAGGAAGAGAAGTCCAATGGTTTTGTCCACCAAGCCAGAGTCCCTTCTTCCAAACTCTTTCTGAAGCTGCCTCTTTGGGCAGCCATGAGAGGGAAGTATGTGGGGAGAACCACTGAGGCCAGAAGGAAGACAGGGAACTAAAAAGCAGATATAAGTAAGTAAAGTAAGGTGGCTGTTGACCTAGGAGGGGGTCCTGGGTTCTAATCTGGGCCTTGCATCCAGTGAAGCAGAAGCTTTCCTTCTGAACTGCTCTCCAGCAGTTTGTTTTCCAATGACTATATAAAATGCAAGAGGCAGTGACTCAGATTCAAAAGAAGTGTCAGAGGAGGGGCTGGATAATGCCTCACCAGTGGTGTATTAAGAATGCTATGCTGGAAAGTCAGAGAAACCAAGGTTTAAATCCTCTCTGAACAAGGGGAGGCCTAGAACTCAGGTCCTCCAGCTTCTGAGGCAAGCCCCCCAGCCACTCAGTTACTGGGGGAAAAAAAGACTAGAAATCTTGTGTGCTTTCCTTTCTTTCAACATGGGAAGGTGCTCCCCACCCCTCAGGCTGAGTCCTGCTAATCATGGATTTTGGCTGCCTATATTTTCAGGCCTTAGATTATGCTTATGTCTACAAGGGGTATGTGTACATGTCCCAGCTCTATACGTGGCTAATGTGTCGCTTACTGCACATGTCCAGTCTAAGCACAGGTTACGTGACCAAGAACAGAGCTCCTATCTGTGCTTAAGTGGCATTTTTGGCATTCAGATGACCAAGAATACAATGCAGGCAACCAAATCCAGACACTTAGGTGATCAAGGAAGAAACAATGCTACTGCTAACTGCACAGAGTTAAGAAGAAACTCAACTAATGGGCAGATTGTTCTCTTAACATTCATTCAAAGGTTATCCTTCTGCCAAGTCATCTGGAACTAGCCATTGCTGGATGCAACCTATGGAATTACAATGGACTGTGGGTTTGGTCTGGCAAATGCTACCCTGACTAGGAACACAACAGGAGTAAGATTCCTTCCAATCCTAAAAATGACCCAGTCTCCATTTCCTTGAAATCCAACATGGTACTAAGAAAAAAGGATCATTTTATGACTAAATCATCTGAGTAAAGAAAAACAAATGATAAAGCCAGTGCTGGCTATGGTGTGCATAAATAATACAAGGGTTGTTATAGTGTTACCCATTAAATTTACAAAAGCACAAAGCTGAACAAGGTTGTACAAACATCTTAAGGTTCTATTAGGATTAACAGCTCTGGATTTGCTCTGGTGGGTCATCAGTACACATGGCACCACATTAGCTTTAAAACTATGTGCTCACACTTAGCTATGCACTTACCATAAATAAATAATAATAAAAAAAAGCTTCTTCTCCAGATAGTGCAGACTCCTCAGCACAGCAGAACCTCAGACAGGCCTAACGTATCACCTACTTTAAAGAAGAAATTAAAGTAAACGTTTGCCAGGTTCACACAATGTATAACACAATGGAATGCTTGATTCCATTTAATAAAATCATGCAAGCAGACCTAGGAGAAGCATGTTTATGCTGTGCCTTGCAACGGACACCTCAGAATTCGGCCTGCTATTACCTGTGAGTGCCCCTCCAATGCGTGTGCTTATTCAGACTCAAACTTTCCAAGCTTAATATAGAGGTTAAAGAAAAGAGACTGGAATTCACTGAAGCCCTCCTGAGCAGTGAGCTTGTGTTCTTAATTTCTTCTGTTCAAAATCTTATCCCATACCAGTGTTCACACTCTTGCCTTTTCTTTTTCAAGACTTTCCTTAAAAGACTTGCTCTTTACATTTTGTTATGCCTATCTGAATTTTAAAGTTACAAGAGCACTTTGTTTCTACTTAATATGAAACATAAAACACCAGATATACAAATTATATATACAAAGGAACTTGTATTAACACCAGATTCCAGGTGGCTTTGCTGCCACACTTGAGGCCTGTGTATAGTGTATTATATATGGCCACACCAAACACAAAGCTATAAACATTTCATTATAGGAGAGAGTGCATTTGTGCATTTGCATATATACTTTATCTCTGAAACGTCCTACACTCAAGACTTCTAGGCACCTGTGTGCATGAGATACACATTTTAGAAAATACAGTATTCCAACCAACTGTAAGTGAAAGGAGACATTACTGCTCTTGGACACTAGTAGAGCTGAGCAACATTGGTAAGACATGAACAAATGACATTCAAAATGAATGCAAAGGACATATATCATGGGATATCGTATACTGGGGGTAGGGGGTCTGATGCAAAGATACATGATACATCATTGGAGTCATTCCTCTAACATTTCTTTATTGCAGCAGCTCCTAGGAGTGAGAAAATCTTGTGCCATCTTAAAAGACAGACTTAAAAGACTGTGGGGAGGTACTTTCACCAAAGGGAGAAAGGGAACTCTGTCTCCTTCACACAACATGACCCAACATGGCAGTTTGGATTTGTGTATCTAAAGTATCCAACATGCATTCCTTAGCAGTCCAGAGTGTCCTCTACAGAGACTGTGACACTATATTCTAGGGCTTCAGCTTGCCTTCCTTTACCAGTCGCTCATTGAGCTGGCATAACTGCTTCAGAAAGCCATCGTTAGGACCAATCTCCCGCTTTTGCCGGACAATACTCAATGCACTCTTGACATCCATGTTTTGGCGAAGCATAAGGTAAGCAATGACCAGAGTTGGGGAGCGGCTGTATCCTTCACGGCAGTGTACAAAGACTCGGCCTGCACAGGGAGAAGGCAGAAAAAATTCAGAATATATTTAAGACTATGGTGGGAGGCACTATAGAAACCCTGGATGAATGGAAGGATGGATGGATACTGGTTCTTCAGCCATCTAAGGGCTTCAAATTTTGAATGGCCATGTCTGGAAGAGGTACCAAGGAAACTGGAACTGTCACCAAGTAATTATATATAGCAGATGTCTCCACAAATTAGAGCAATAAATATAATTTGCTTCTACAGGAAGAGACATTCAAACTTTTCTATTTGCTACTTTTAGATCTAGAGTAATGCTTACAGCCTGCAGGACTTAATAGTTTCCTTCCTGCCCCTTCTCCCACAGGAGGACCAGAGTCATGGAGGAACACACAGAATTAATGAGTGGTAGGGCTTTTTTGTATTGTCTTTTATTGGATCAATTGTATAATTAGGAGAGATGCTGGGCAAGCTTTTGGACCCAAAGTGAAAAACTTGTCCAACATCTCTCAACTATACAATTGGTCTAATGAAAGATTTTTCCAACCCTCCCCCCTGCAAAAAAAAAAAACCCCACAAAAAACCAAAACAATGCTTGCCTCTTGTACATTTTCTGGACCATCATGGCTATAACAATACTCCAAGCCTCCTACATGCAGTGTTAAGTGTACTGAACCACAGATGTATAGCATAAACAGAGGAGGCTGTTGGTGTGCAAATATTACACCTTTCACCAAATTAGACACACATCCTTATATTCCTTTCTTGTGTCTTTGTGACAAGGTATTTAACAGAATTCACAGATTCATGCTGTGACCTTGAACTTGTAACCTCTAGGCTGTCAACCATGCACCTTAGCACCCATTTCACCCCAACCCACATCCTTTATGTTGAAATCCTGGCACTTCTTATGCCTACTTCATTGTTACACCTTAACCAGGCAGTGCTGTCCTGTATTTATGAGGTGACATTACAACTTCAGCTCTTTTACTCTTAAGAGACTTCCCACAAGACATACATCCAGTGTACCAGATGCATATCAAAGCATTGACTACATATCTGTGAAGACAAGCAACACCTAGCTTTGTTAGCCAAGGGCTAATAAAATGTAGTCAGATGACTGATACATCTCACCACACTACTGTCCTCCTGCTCCTCACCACTCACTCCCGGCTCCTTGTGAAGAATGTGACAAAAATAAATAACCAATAATAAACTAAAATGCCATCCACATCATCCCTCTCAAGAATTTTGCCCAAGTTGGGTCACTTCCAGCTGGCTTTTCACTGACTTACTTTGCAGAGACAAAATCTTTTCCTAGATGGGAGCGGGGGGGAATGCTAGCCCCAGCCAACTCTCCACAGCAAATCCCTTTCTGAGAAAAAGGACAGATGAGTCCCTTGCACACATTTCATAAAATAATCTGGTTTGCTGCAAGTTTCAAACGGGAAAAATTATTCCCTTTGGGCCACTAAAATACTGAAAGAAACCTCCTAAGCCAGGTGAGCAACCCCCTTCCCTCCCAGAACAAACAAACAAATTCTTGCCTAGTATTTTCCTAAGAACATACAGTTATACATTTAACAAGATCTAAAATGTTCCTGAATTCGCCCCTCATGTGTGTTCATCTCCATTTTCCAAATGCTCCTTAGTAATAGACTTCACAGTTTTTTTCAAGAGTTCATCTATACTAACCTGCAATGAAGAGTATGGGCTTCCTTCTGTAAGCCAACCCTGCCTATACTGAGCTAATCACCAGAACACTTTGTAATCCTGGAGGAGAAAATAAAGTTGCAGACGAAGATAATTTTGCACTTGCCACTTCACTGGTATGAGTAATTCTTTTCTAGGACAAATTAGGAGTAACAACCAAGGCCTTCCAGGAAAGCTGGGAAGAGTGTCAGGCTGTATAACTGATCACCTTGGTTTATTCTAAAACATTTATTACTGGAATACAGTGCCACTATAGGTGACATCCTAACTTTCCCCGAAATACCAAAATGATGAGCAGTCACTATAGGGAAAGAAACAAAAAAAAGTGCAAAACAATTGAACTCTCTATCAAACCATGCAAATTGAGTTTTGAAATGTAGATTAACAAGTGCATCTGATCTTTAACCTAGCTGGAAGTCTACTATTTGTTTGCCATAATGATGAGAGGCGTGGGTCAGGAATAGGGTAAAACATCCAAACTGGATTCCATTCCTGGAACTGGCAAGTAACTGCAAATTCTGAGTGATTCTGTGATTTATATGCATCTTTGGGTGCCTATACATGACCACAGAGGCTGGAATTCCAGCACATTGGAGCAGACTCAATTAATCAAGTCTGCTGGAGTGTGGAAATTACTGTGCTCCAGCAGCCTCCTGCATCTCATGCATCAGCATCCCTGTGCTTAAAAGCAGCAGTGGGGATGCCTGAACTGAAGCTGAAAGTAGTTTTAGTTCAAGCGCCCCAGCCACCATTTTAAAGTGCGGGGACACTGATACATGAGATGCTGTGGCACTTTAATTACAGTGGCTCTTGAAGCTGCTGTAATTAAAGAGCCGCTACTCCCCACTCCCCAGAGCATATGTAAAAGTGCTCTTGGTGAGCAAAACTGTGCAGAAGAGGCAGGATTTCTGTGCTTCTGCTGTGGTTAATTCCATCAGCCTGGATCTAGTAGTCTACCCTCCCTGCCACTGCAGAACTGGTTTTATGGCTCACAAAGCTGTGAAGAGTTAAGTTTTACTTTTGGAATTCACCAGATATAACAAGTTGCCGGCCCAATCCTTCTCTTTCTCCATTTTCAAAAAATAATGAGAGAAAAATATTTCCTAAGCAGATCTGCCTGAACTCTTAAGGCACGCCCCCATGAGCACACATGTTCAGGGGCCTGCATTTCCCATGGGACAAATAGTGGCAGCATATATTTATGCCACTGCTATTTATCCCCAGACATGCCCTATATGCCTGTTGCGGCATGCGGCAAATAGACCCAAGTCAGGTAGGGCAGGTTGAGGCCAGCACCCATGCTGGCCCCAGGCAGCCTTCACTGGGGTTATGGGGGAATCCCAGGGCTGCAGTGGCACTGAGCCAGCCGCTCAGAGCCTGGCCAGTAGCCAGAACATGGCTTTGGCCAGCCAGGCTCCAGTTGCCCGCAGCAGTTTCCTGCTGCATGCACCATGCCACTTTTTCAGTGGCGTATTTTGACACCAGGATTTCCTGGTGTCAAAAAATCCTGCCATGCTGCTAATCTGCAGCACAGCAAACCAGTGCATGTCCATTGCATGCAGTCTGCAGTGCCTCAAACTGCTTTAAGTCACCACAAACCACATGTACACACTTGTGGGAATGTGCCCTTGGAGTTTTTCCTCTTCAAATGTCTAGATATGGGATGAGAAAGCAATTTTGAATCTGTGAAAAAATATGAAGTAAAAGAAATAATCAGGTAACAAGAAGCACCCAGGGCCCTATACATTCTGACCTTCTAGGACTGTTACCCTGAGGAGGTTCAGAGAGTCATTTAAGATTACTCATTGCCTGATCATGGGCCCTCAACCTCTCACTAACATGTCTAAGCCCTGAATGCCTGGCTTTCTTTTTCCACTGAAATTCTGACCAGAATAAAAAATAAAAATTACTGTTCCAAACATTCATGTGCTGGCTAGAAAACAAGGCAGAGAAATCCTTAGAGATGCCTTACCATCCTTCTGGGACAGAGCTTTTTCAATAAAGTCAGCTGCCTCTTCGAAATACCGACTGAGGTTAAACTCTTGGGTGTCGTTAGCTTTAATACCATGGTAGGTAATGCCTGTGCCCTCGTAGAACTCTGCATTAGTGTTCACATGCATAAAGGACTTTCCCTCTGCTGCATTCAGCACATGGGTTATGCCCAGGCGCTGCAACCTCATGATATTCTTGGCTATGAACCTGGAAGGTAAAAAAGCATGAAGAGAACAATAAGGCTTTAAAAATCAGGCAATTGTAGGCCAAAATGTCAGCGTTTACAGAGCTGTGGGGAAGTGACTGGTTAGCCCTCTGCTGCCCCTAAACCATATTACCTGGGGGAAACTATTCAACATACTGCACTTGAGTGAATTTACTGTAGATCTTATCTCAGAAATCAATTATATTCTCAGCCTATTCAAATGGGCTATAGTCAGAAAGGCATTAAGAGCAGCTATGATAACCACTTCTGACAGGACCCCATTGTCCTGTACCTCAAATGAACAGAGAACACCTGAGACTCCAGAAATTGTCAACACCTTCTGGCACAGGGGAATCTACTCCCTCCAACCACTACTAAGAATCAACTATGGATACTAAGAGAGCTTGCAAGCTGTTGTTTCATGTTTAACCTTCTTTTATACAAGCTAATATAGGAACCAGTTAAAAGTCTCCATTACCAGTTCTCAGAATCATGACTTCAGGCCAAGGTATAGTACATAGCCACAACACTTGGGGTTGTAGTAGTGACTGGCCAAAAAAACAAAGAAATTGTATCTATACTTATCCTACCAGCATTTTTGTAGGACTTTATGTGGATAGATATCTTCAGACTACTTGCAGAAGTGTACAGAAACATTGAAATACTTTAGGTCAGTGGTACCCAACCTTTTCACTCTGCAGGCTGAATAGGCAGTGCCAGGTCCATCTGCAGGCCAGATCTGGCTCACATGGAGCTGGCACAGCAGGAGCATGATCTGATTGTAGGGGGTAGGGATGGGGAGTGAGCAACTCAACCCCAATCCAGCCATCCAAGGGGACAGGGAGTGGCCTGGCCCTACACTGATCTGGATCTGCAAGGGCAGCATAGCCCCAATCTGGGTGCAGGAAAATGGAGGGTAGGGAGCAGCCTGGCCCTGATTGGGTGGCAGCACAGCTCAGTCCGATCCCGATGTGGTGAGAGGAAAGGAAGGGGGAGGGAAAGCGGTGCAGCCCCAATCCAGACACACAGGGGAGGAAGTAGGGAATGACCCAGCCCCAATTCCCAAGCATGAGGGTGGGGGTGGGGAGAATGGACAGGGATTAGCCCAGGCTGATCCAGATGGGTGTGGTGTGGGCCTGGCCTTGATTTTGCTTTTTTTGGAAATGGCCCAGACAGGACTTGATCTCACCATGTGGAGCTTCTACTGCTCTCTTGCTGCCAAAATTTCCTGACTTGTGGGAATCCTTGTGGGCTAGATGCCATGGCTCTTCAGGCCAGACTGGCCTGCAGGCTGGGGTTTGAGCACCCCTTTAGGTCATTTCTCTCAGACCAAATGAGCCTAAAGAGTTGTAGTGAATATTTTTCCTTGAGGTCTTGCCTGTAGAATCTACCAGGTTCAGTCCTCCTCATTGATCACAGGGTGGCAGAAGAAGGGGAGCTATCTTCCTCTGAAGGACTGGGATGGTGGCCATGGCTAAGGTTGGGAGTTGGACTGAGATATACCCAATGATCCTGTGGATACTTAGAAAACTCAAGACGTTACTGGCTCGAGAGTCTTGCTCTTCTGCTCAGGATCATGCAAAATTTAGGGTCAGGAGGGAATTTTGACCCCAGGTCAGAGCTTAGCAACGTTTTATGGTGGGTTTTGACTCCCTTTGTTCTATGGAACACTGTCCTGTTACTAGGCTTCCCTAAGCATATATTACCAATTACATCTCTGTTATTTCAATTCCAAGGCATTTCAATAACAGGTCATTACCAATGCCTGTCTCCCCCTTGCTTTTACTTGCTGCACGTTATACTGTTTTCTTATTGCTTTGAGTATTGTGCCTTGCAATTGTAAGGATCTAAAGAAGTAAATATAGAGATTCCCTTGGGTAAATGATTGCCTACAAACACAGAACAGAACTAGATGGCCCAGGATTCTCCTTCCAGTCCTACGTTCTTCTAATTTCTGTTATTCAACATGTATGAAGTTTCCTGGAGCTCTTTTGAGACAGTATGTACTGAAATGCCAGCAGTACCTGAACATTACTCAACTGCGTCTCCTTTATATCAAAAGTAAATAGTACCTTCTCCCAGCTAAACCAGCATCTGGGCTAAGATGAACCCAAACAGAACAGAGGATGAGCTTTTAGGAAGATAAAGCATTTTGAAGAACTTACCTCACTGCCTTTATATTACTGAAGTCCTTTTAGACTCCTCAGGTCTATTGGCTATTTAAATAGTCATAGCAGCAAAACAAAAACCTCCATGTATTTCCATCTCCAAGTGGCCAGAAAACCCCTGCCAAATACAAATCATACTATACCTGTCAGGTACAGGCCTAGGCATGATGATGCATGCATCTCAGGCTTGATTACTGAAATGCATTATAACTAGGGATGATGCCACAGACTTCGAAAAATTTCCAAATGGTGCAAACAGCTTCAGAACCAAAGTGACCATGGGCATCACCTCAGTGCTTGGTTCTGTACACCAAAATAAAATCTTTACTAGGGACAGATAAGTTAGGTCAGAGGAAAGTGGAAAGCACCAGCACTACCCTCCAGATTAGACCTGTCCATAGAACCAAACTTTTGAAATTCTGAAACTTCCCAGTAATTCCCCTACCCACTTACCCCCATTTGTATTCATTTGTTCTTCCAAAGTTCCAGCCAAAAGAGCAACTATAAAAACTGAACCAAGGAGGGGCAGGGGGAATCAAGGTCTAAACAGGTCTGCATCTGAGGTCTGCAAACAAAAGCCTTTTGGGTAAACTGCTTCTTTCAAGACCACCAGTCCTATTTTAAAAAAATATATAAGATAGGCTTCCATGTGATAACAAAGGGCCAAGGGCCCTTGGATGAATATTTGCTTGATATTTTAGAAATCGAATAAATAAAATCTAAGTTTGTGATGTGTATCCAAACTAAAATCGGCACAGTGAATGCTGAAGTTTTTGTACACCAGCTGAGTTATCAGCTAATTTCCCCTGCAACCATTCACCTTTCAAACCTGAGCACATACAGCAGATGAATCCTCATGGATTAGTAAAGTTTTTAATATTTTCTGCAATGTGCTCCCAATAATCATGGCAACAAACCAAGTAATTTTTAAAGGCTGTGCTCTTCCAGCCAAACAAAAGCTGGCAAATTCTCTGTCTGGCAGAATAACAGCTATGCTAGGGAACAAATGTTGACACCAGGGGAATTCTACTTGGAACAGAAGAGCAAATGCCTTAAAACAATGCCTGAAAAAAATAATTCTGTGAATGCCCTGTCCTTTATTATCTTTTACACCTAACATTTGTTTTGACTGAAAACATTTGGTCGTTGATGGAATAAGAAAAAATTCTTGGCCAACAGGGTTTTCCATATTTAGGAATTGGCAGTCTGTCTCGAAACAGCCTAGCTCAACTAAAACTGTATGGAACTTGCTTACTGCTGAGCATCTTCAGCTAAAACACAGAGCAAAACTTAGCTTCTGCTCATTGCAGACCAGAATCTTCCATCATTTTCAACAGTCCCAGCAAACCTCTCACTGTCTCAGTGCCAGTTTGGTTACATCATGTTCAAACACTCTCTTCAGAGAAACTGAACAGGGGAGATGGTTGCTGGGAAAGAGAGCAGTATCAGCTTCTTCTTTTTCCCTACGGAAACTCATGCAATCTTGTCTAGTCTGAATATGGAACTGCCCCTTTCCTGGCCCTGTAACATAAGTACAGATGTAACCAGAGACCATATATCTTCCAACCACAGATCAGTTTTACAACCCACAAGATTCTAGTCTTGAAGGTCAGTGGTTAACAGCAGGTGAGTCTAAGCAAGATTGTCACGTGATATTACTCATGCAGCTGGCCAATCCAACGGATAAGTGGGTTACAGACTTTGCTAAGGAATGGAATTTATTAACAACCAACGAGTCTTTTCTGACTGCTCAGTATCTTCAGTAATATATCACATCTCAGCTCCTTTTGGGATTTTCATGTGTCCATTTTCTTCTCACCACTTCTACCCTACAGCTATTGAGTTTAATAATAGTTTGAGCAAGGAACAAGCAAATGAACTCTGCCTTCTAATCAGTGGGTATCAATTAGGATGGGTGGGCTACCCTCACGTACGCTTTGAGTGTGTCCCAGTCCTGAAGGTTGCTGCAGGTGGGCCAAGTGTCAACCTTGTCCCATTCCCTAACCTACAGTAGTACAGCACTCCCAGTTTTTAGCTCCCATTGCAATGCATTAAGCATTTTTCCTGAGTTCAGGTAAGTTTAAAAGTGCACAAGGACTTTATAAAGACCCTGTATATGGGATTTTTAAAATATATCAAATTACACATTATTACTAGATAATCAGAAATAATTATTTTCTGTGGAACACTTTCTTAGGATGCAATTCCAAACAGATTTAAGAGAAAAATGTTGGCATTACCACAGTAGATTGATTATATATATACACACACATATATATACACACACACTGTGGTAATGCCGACATATATCGATTTTGATATTGCACACAAACTATATATATAGATTCATAGATGTTTGGGTCGGAAGGGACCTTAGCAGATCATCGAGTCCGATCCCCTGCCCTGGGCAGGAAAGAGCACTGGGGTCAGATGACCCCAGCCAGGTATATGTCTAGCCTCCTCTTAAAGACCCCCAAGGCAGTGGAGAGCACCACCTCCCTTGGAAGTCCATGCTACATTTTGGCAACCCTTACTGTAAAGTTCTTCCTGATATCTAACCTAAATCTGTTCTCCATCAGCTTGTGGCCATTCTTCCTAGTTACTCCAAGGGGTGCCCTGGTAAACAGAGCACCTCCTATTCCTTGCTGTCACCCCCAATGAATTTGTAGGTGGCCACAATATCACCTCTCAGCCTTCTCTTGCTGAGGCTGAAGAGATCCAGGGCCCTCAATCTCCCCTCGTAGGGCTTTGCCTGCAGACCCCTAAACATACGTGTGGCCCTCCTCTGAACCATCTTGTGGTTGTCCACATCCCTCTTGAAGTGTGGTGCCCAA